CATACCTTGCTGCATATGACTTTGCCGACGGTCATGTCGGCGTCAAGTCGCTGAGTAGGCCTATACAAACACGCATGCTGGCATGACTGCCTTACAAGCGAACATATGGAAACTAGGCTTTATCCCTTAGCTCTTTTGTGTATGGGTGGGGCTTCCCAATTCATTTCTAATTACTAGAGAAAGGCATTTCCGTTTTCTTGTTGGTTGGGGGTGGGTCCATTTTGTAGCAGGGTCCACGTAAAGGATCGTCTTCCGCGCTTTAATCCGATCAAGCACGAAACCTTAATTAATACGTCAACCGCGGACATGAAAAAAAATCTTAAACGAGTGTGCACGTCCTGCGTGGAACAAAATACGGAAAATTGTGCGTGTTTACACGTCATCCGGCGTCAAGTGGCAGTGACTATAGTTTTTTAGGTTTACAAAATATACATAATACAATATATATCATAGATTGTGCAAATTACTTCTGGCAATCGACGTGGCTGATTTTATCATATTCTGCACATGTAGATTCAAATCCATACAACAGAGTGACAGTTTTCGTGGTTACTATTTGAGGACCATTTTAATTAATAGGCCAAAATCAACCTTACCCATCGGAACAACCGGCAAGGTTTCAAAAGTCAAAGATGCCAATAACGACAATTCCGGCCCGCTCTACGCCAGACGCCGTATCACTCTCGTCCCAATCCCATGGTACTATGTGTAAGTGCGCGTGGTCAGACGTCTCGCATCCGAGGAAAGACCTACAAAAACACATCAGTACCTAATCAAGGACGGATCCAGAACAGAATTTTCTCGGGACCTAATAATAATAATTGGACGGGGCAAATGGGCGGGGATGGCTTTCAGTTGCCCACCCTTCCGCCTATGTACTCAATAAATGTGTTGCATTAATCGACTGTCAAGATTACAATCCGATGTTAAACTGCCTTACTATATTGCTTTGCTCCTGAGGTGCCGCAAAAATTTTCAGTGAAGTTCTATAAGCCAGTCCTGATGTGCATCACGCACTGGGATATTTGTAACAAATAAAGTATTTCTCCACTCTTTTGGGTTTTTTAAGATTTACTTCAAAAAAGAAGAAAGGTTTCCCACAAAAAAAAAAAACACGAAAAAGAAACAACGAAAAGTGAAACAAAAACCCCAAACGACAACAAACCATACCAAACACACATCGAAAATAAACGTGTGGGTGAAAAAATGCTTGGCTTTCGATGATCTATTGAAGGTCATACGCGAGGAAACACCGGCTAATTTTCCCGAGCTGTTTGAACTCTTTGTTTTTCCACTAATCAAATTGACGCTGGGGATTGTAAATCTTCCCACTCGATACGAAAACATTATCTGGGTGTGGTTTGACGTTAAACTTTGTGAAATTGGAAAATAGTGAAAAAATAGTGACAAATAGTGTTTAAAGTTAAGGCAACTCCAAAAGCTGTGAAATCAAGTTGAGACCAACCTTATACCAGAGAGACAGTATAATCACGATTTATTGACAACGTCGACGCATGTGCACTTACGATTTGGCAAATAAATTCAAGCTTATTTACAAATATAAATCAAAAAATCAATGCAATTAAAATCACGACATTCTTCTACTTAAAAAAATGCCAGCAAATGGGGAAAAAAATTTAGAAGCATAAAGAAGAAATCCAAATTTATGGCAAAAATCTTTAACAATCTTTATTATAAACAATTTATTTACTGAATTATTGTCTTTATTCCATATTCTAAATATAATGGCTTTGTCACTTTATAGTATAATTACAGTTATTATTTTCACACTCCTTTAATGACCAAATGATTTACAATATTGGTTACATGCTCGGAGTAAACAGCCAAGAAACAGTGCTTCCTGTTGAGCAAAATCATTTTATTAAAGATAAAATCGTTATGCTAATTATTTGTGAGGAAAACACCACTCTAAAGTTATATATTAAGGCCATAAGTAACTTACACTACTGCTTCGATCTTTTGCTACTTACTACAACGGAACAGCCCCTTTGACAAAATACGAACATCGTCCTGTGCCGAGTCTGTGCGAAGTGCAAATCCATCAGCAGAATCGACTCTCAGGAAGTTTGAACAATGGAACGTACAGAAAAAGAAAGTGTTGATGCCAATTCTAAATACATGCATCACGAAATATAAATACTTGTATTCATATGAAATTAAGTAGAGAAGATGTGACCACGAGAGTCGCTAGGAAGGAGGTAAAAACTCCCACAGGTGATAAAGCACTCATTTGCAGCAAACTGACAAAATTATTAATGGTGGAAGAGAGGTTAACTCCTAGGTATTTTTAAAAGCAAATTGATCTTCGTTCTGTTCCTGTTGTCTTTTTGTTTTCCTTTTTTTTTTTTTTACTTTTTCCAAGGGGGGGGTTGCATATGGGTGTCGCAGGTGACACCTTGCTCCCCCCCTCCCAAGTGACGCCCATGGATATGATCTCCAGGCTGTGTAGAGTTTAACTACCTTCAATACATCTATACTTGCACTGGGTACTTCGGGTAATCCTACTTAGTTTCAACCTAGTGGTTTCAGTACTTTAAGAGGATTCTTACAGGAAAAGCAAATGGACTGAAACGGCACTGAAGGTTTGAATTGGAATCTACAATTATTGCTCCATGCTCTTCAACAAGGAATGTACTAGTAAAATGCTTTACAATTTAACAACACACTTTTTTGTGAAGCTGCTTCATGAATGGCCTTTGGTTTTCCTTTTTTTTCCCACAAAAATAACTGTTAAATGCGAAATGTCAACTGCACATTGTTATGAACAAGAAACCGTTTGCTACACCATTAGATCATAAGCAACTCTCATATCCCATTGTAAGCTACATGTATCCTGTTCTAAGTTTACAGTGACTAAAAAATGGATGCTGTTTGGTAAAATCATTTCAATTTTCAGGGCACGGAATAATCACACACATGTAATGACATCTTTTCAACACTTCTAATTACAATTTAGTAGATACACTTCTTAAATTCATTTACACTGATTGTTATCATAAACTCTTTAGTTATCTGTACAGTGGCATATGAATAAACACATGTTAAATAAAAACTTACACGGCATGATAAAACAGCAGAAAAAAAGTAGTTGTAGGACAATGCTCTATCAAGCAAAGCAGAAAAGAAAGGCATAAACCAAACCATATTCAAAAGGAAAATAAGGAATTAGATCTAATTTGCATTAATGCAAAGTGCACATTAATCTCGCTGTACTTTCTAGATGTTTCCGTGACAGAATTTAAATTCTCGTTTGAGACAACCTCCATCAACAGTGATAATAATTGAGCATTAGGTAGGGATGTTAATTTTATGCCAGGTTTTCCTCTTACACCAGCACACAGAGGTATATTTACACTGTGTTTTCAGTATGGTCCAAAAATTGAGAAAATTTTAACTTGCCGGCATGGGATTTGAACTCACTACTTCCTGTTCGCTAGTGCAGATGTTGTGGGTTTGAACCCACCCGAGTAAGCATAAGATTTTCCACAACTTGTACCACACTTATAGAATACATGTGAACATCGAGGTCTGTTTAAGGGCAAAACCTGGTATAAAATATAGAAACACCACAGCTGCTAAGCAAAGGAAACGTTAGTCGAGAAAGAACAGGCTACCATGTAAAATAAGCAACATGCATTGATCTTGACTGGTTCTCCACTGGTTTTTGGCAAGCACTATTGTGACCTGCTATAGGTGTGAAAATGGGTCAGAAGTTTCCTGAGCCACTTTTGAGTTTCAGTTTGTATCGGAAAGAGCAAACTGAGCCCTTGGTTTTGATGTATCACTCAATTTGGTATCTTGATGGAACTGGACACTAAGTAGATGCCAAAAATGTTTAGGATTCTCATAAATCTACACGGTGCAAGATGCTAGAAAGGCCGTTAACTCCAAACTGGCCTGAGTGACCTCTTGCTCAGTTTCAAAGAGCAGGTCACAATTATGCACTTTACAGACCATTATGTTAATCATAGATATAAGTCATCAAGGCATTTCTTACTAATTAGCCTATTTGAGGCTACCCACAATGACTTCAGGCAGCACTGCAGTCCCTACACATTTTTTTGCAATCAGTTTCACAAAGCACATCCTCTGCAATCAATTCTATGAAGCACATTTTCTTGCGCATCTTAGGCTGACAGAAGGCATGCTTCCTAAGGAAAGGTTCAACTCGTGGGGAAATAGGCCGAACAGTAAAAAGGCAGCACGAGTGTATGGCCTGCACTGCAGGTACATGTAATGCACTCAGCCAATTCAATTTTCTGCACTCCCCTATTATTGCTAAGCAGAGTCAAGGTGTTTATCCAAATCTCAAGTTTGTTTTTGCAGGAACTACTGTATATAAATACAGTCGAACAATCTCAACACGAGCTACAATAATTTCACACTGAGAGAAGTAGCAAAACTTGAACCCTGGATTTTTTTCAGTAGGCTCCCAACTGCATCCAGAATCAAGCTCAGCAGGAAAACGTCATTTTTCCATGGGTAGCGATCGATCAGCGACAAATTGTCAAGAAATGGTCAGTAACCCATGCACTGAATATATACCGCACACCTAGTGAAATCGACCAGTAGTTAACAACCTGTCACTGATCAAACTTGGCCCATCATTTACGCTACCTTATAAGTATATACTGACAGCCACTGAAAACGCATGACTTTTCACATTCTGATCTGTTGGTTTTACCCATTGACACTTGACTGGACCAACGTCAAGATACTGTAATCACTGACACTTGAAGTGAATGAAAATCCCTAGCAGCCAGTGCGTCCTCTCCCTTCAACTCCTCCCTGCGAGGTGCAGGAGAGTGAATACTTTCCAACGTATGCAGTTTCCGAATTTACTGGTTCATTTTCACTGTTTCCGTAAAACTGAGGGGGAACACAATACTTCACACATAGCATGATCAGATGACCCCCAATGGTCTGATGGCATTTTTAACACAGGCTAAGGAGGGTAAGAAGGAAAAGCTGTCTTTAAACCTAATCCTCTAGGTACTGAGTAGATCACATGCAATCTTGCTGGTTTGGGTAGGAGGTGTTCTGGTAGTCACAAATTTATTATAGCTTAAAACAGAAGTTTCACATGATTGTAAATGAACAGATTACAAAATCAAGATGATAAGTTTCATTCATTTAAAAAAAAATCGCAATAAAAATTGTTAAATTTATACACGAGATGAAAACACACTTTTAACGAGGTCGTCACTTTAAATGGACAGAAGTATTTATACCGAATAGGTGATATATTAACAGAAAATATTATGCCCCAATATTAACTTATGTCACAAGGGGAAATGGATTCACCCACTGAAATTGCTGAAGTCCATCTTTAGTTTGATGCTGGGCGCCGCTGGAGGAGCAACTGGTTTCACCTGGGCATGCTGCGTCTTCTGCTTGTTGACAGCCGCCTGGTTGGCACGGATGGCAGCCTCCAGCTTGGCCTTGAGTTCTGGCATCCCGCCCACCACTGTCTTGAAAGCGGCTGGGTAAAGTGGACCGATCTTCACCAGCCGCTGCAGGGCCTGCTCGTGGAGTGCCCTGCTCTGCCGAGAGGTGGAGGGCAGGATGGCGCTGGGCACGAGCAGGCTGATCAGGATGGGAACCAGCAGGGATAACAGCTGAACTCCTGAGAGAAGTGGGAGGGAAAGACAAGAAAAACGTCAAACGTGAGACTGGGAGATGAAGAGAAATCTGAGAGTTTTTAGGGCTTTTAATGACAAAGGAAGAGCTTGCTCACAAAGGGCTATGATTTCATTTTGAGGGTTTTGGTCATAACTGCAAATGAAGCTATTTGAAACGTAGTCTAAACCCTATCCCGTCGCTAGTACTGGACTTACTATGTCCATCATCTGTCAGGCTAACCAACACCTCAAGGACTCGGACAGCCTCTAGGACCACGGGCACTTCACTGTCTTTGTCCGGCTTGTTGCTGCCAATCCCATGGAGATACTCCACCACCCTGGGGCCCAGGGCATGGATGAAGGGGGTCGCTATCTCCCGATGCTTGCACTGGAAGACAGAGCACATGGTCTGTAGGCTCTTCAGCTTCACCTGATGGGGAGACAAGAGACAGGGTGAGTGCAAAGAAATTTGTAACCGTCCGTTACGGTACAGTGTTGTGGCTATAAGTATGGATATGAAGCTAGGCTGAATAACTTCCTAACAATTGGTAGGTTTGCCTTGCTGCAGTTCATGGGCACATGGATTTTAAAAATTAACTACAAAAGTTGCATACAAGTGAAACATGGAATCTTATCTTGACTTTATGAAAGACCTATCTCTCTGCACAACTTCACAATCCAGTTATGCACCATAGTTTTTTCTTCAATCCCAACACCTCAGTTTGCTGGGAACTTTCCCAAATCCTGAAAGTCAACAAAGCACAGTAACTTAATGGAGCATTTCCTTTTTAAATTTAGATACGCAAAATATCAAACCCCATTTAAAACGGTCTTTGGAGGCCCTAAAAACGGTCCCTTTAATGAATACCATGAAACCCTTAAACAGTAAACTCCTGCATATGCTCGGCTGACCTGTACCTATAAACTAGACAAATTCCTTTGCCAAGATGACTGTCCACTTGAGACCTTTTTGTGTCTTACCAGTGGTTCATCAGAGTGCATGGTCTTCTTGAAGAGTTCCATAGCTTGGCACTGGAGACCAGGAACAGCAGTGACTGATGTAGGAGCAGTAGAAACGAAGACGGCAACTGCAAGGAGGACACTGTTCTCATCCACTCCGGTTTTGTCTTTACCTGCAAAATAAACCAAATCCTGGTGAGAAAAAAGTGAGCAATACACCGACGAGCATTAATAAATTAGATGACTTAAAATAATTTATTAAGCAAGTGCAAGTAAATGTGTGCCAACATTAAACCTAATGCCAACTATGTGAAGTTCAAAGTTTCTTTAAAATACGATGTTTATACCACTCAACAAGTTCCCAGACTAATCTGAGAAGATGCTATTACTCGGGTGGCACCATACTAACATGTTATTTCCCTGAAGCACGCATGCATTTTGGCCAGTGTTGCAAGACCATGCACAAGACAAGTCACGGGTAACTGGGTGAACAATGGCAAGGGAATGCTTTTGTTGCAGTTCATTTGAATGGCTTGTGACTTTAATTCAGAGTGGAGGACTAGTGATGTTCTTGTGAAAGTCTTAAGTGGTCTCGACTACAATACTGATTTTGGCTAATCACAACACCTTATTGGTTGAAGACAAAATACAACCTGTGCTTCTAATTCTTCTCACAGGTTAAGTTTGTTGAACTTTGGAAAAGATTCTCAGAAAAACTGAATGAAACAAAGGGACCATAAAACAAAAACCTGTCCACATTATGATCTGGGCAGAATTTGACAAAGGGCTCTCTCACAGATGCAATATGAGAAAGGAATCTCAGCCTTAACATGGCCTCCCATGGCCACAACCAACCCACTCCCTGCCGTGGGTCACACAACCCAAATTACCTGGTCTGGCGAAGTCCAAGACCGTGGCCAGTGCGCTGCGGAGTAGCCTCACCCACTCTTTGACGCATGTTGGGTTGTCCAGGTGTCTGGAGTGCATCAGCATGCGCAGTGCCTGCAGGGAAGCGGAGACGGTAGTCGTGATCTTGCCGTCGGTGGAGGGCTCTGCTGTTTCTCGTAGCACCCCAGTGGTCAGGAAGAGAATAGTGGGAAGTACTGATACGCTGCCTGAGTGTTACAAAAAGAAAAAAAGACGGGAATTCTTACGTTAATTAAGCACTTTAAAATGAAGAATTAGAGGTTTGTTGATGTAACCTCCATCATACATTGTTTTATGACCTGCCATACCCTGCTAAACACTAATGCTATGGCTTATAGCAAAGAAAAAGTGGAACAAATAGTTTTCATACAAGGTTTTACTCTATACATGGATGTACTTTATATACGTTCTTACAGTCAGGATTTGGATTCCAAAATTTCTAGATCAGGCCAGCTGGTGGGGATTATTAGCTTAACCTTCTGGAGCCTGGACCTTAACCTCCTAGGCTGCCATCCTCATTTTTCTAGGCCAAGCCCTGTAAAATGTTTCTTTTATAAGACCCTTTTTATATAATGAGTGAACAGGGAATGTGCTAAGACACTATAAATTGGGTAGACACTCCCATGCCCGGCTCTCTGTTGATCGTACCACCAAGGGCAAGTGAGACGCTGACAGCACCAATGAGCCAGCTACGACCGGTGTCCAAGTCAAGCTACCGGACCTGTTGGGTGTGGCCGTTTCTCCCAAGCTTCGAATCATCGTTCTGGCGCTCAAGGCAACAACTCCATTGCCCTGAACTGTACCTGCACGGGTATGACATCCCTCCATGGGTATGCTTCACTGGCAAGCCAAGTAGCACCGTGTCACCCTCAGGACCAGCGGTCAGTCAAGACCCCTTTGTTGGACGTGGACCACCTCGCAGCAGTCCTCACCGGTTAACAGAACAACCCAGCCTTCATTTTCTTATGTTTACCGGGCGATTTTTTTGTATGTATATCGGCCGATACTTCATTTATTATAATTGTATAGATTTGTATCATTTTTATTATTTACTTGTTCATCTCCCCATGTTGATTGACGTTGATTCATTATTAAAAATAATGTACTTTCAAGTTCTTCTAATTCAAGTCATGCCTCACTGCCTTGATAACAGCTGGTTGTTGGAAATGTCCTGTTTATTTCCTCTTAAATTATTTTGCTACCGTGTGTGACGGATTGGGCTTTTAGTTGGTCTTTCCACACCAAAGTACTATGTAAACTAACAGTTTCAAGACACAATAATATCACACCTTTGAAGGTGTAGAGAACCGTAATAGAGTACTGAAGTGTGACGTCACTGTGAACCAGAAAGTACAGTGCAAACGAATGGAGTACCAGATGTTGGTTGACAAGCTGGTTCACGCGCTAATGCCTTTTACACACTAATTGTGCGTGTGACGTATTCACTTCGGTACTCTATAGCATCTGTCACTCAAAGGTACCAATATATTACCATTACTCCCACTCATCCAGCCCACAACAGAGGAATATTCCTGAAACCATTTCTGCTACCTGAGCAGCATGTAGCCTTATACAACTATTCCAGATGCTAAGAGCTTAACACAATAACAGTATCTGCCTTACAGGTACCCATTTACTCTTGGGTGCAGAGAGGAACAATGGGCTAATGTGTTACCACCTGCCAGGATTTAAACACCTGACCCAATGATTGGGAGCTACAAACCCCTAACCACTAGACTACATGTCCAATGAGACATGGTATGTTCTATGCCGACCCAAAATAAAAACACTGAAGGGCAGGTGGTGTAAATACAAGGTTCAACATCTACAACTTTGGGTTCTGTTTAAGTGATAGGGAAACTTCACTATCACTGGATTTAGAATTTATCTGGAATGTTTCACATCCTATACCTGCTGGTGAGCACAACTCAGGCAATCCAGCCATGATGGAGACGGTGGTTGATATGAGCACGCTAGCCTCCTCGGAAAGCCCGGCATTCTTGGCGTAGCTCTGGATGATGGCACTGGACACCGTAGGGTTGAGGGCCGGCAGCTGCCTGACCAGCAGGCATAGGCACACCTCTAGCGTGGCGAAGACCACCGAGCTGCCAGGCACGATCTCCCCGCTCTCTCCTCCCTCCTCCTGGAAAACCCCACCCCCACCGTTAGGTTTGGGCTCACAGCGGTCCTCTGTTTCATATGCGTGAACAAGAGCAGAGTGAATCTACAAGGTGCATGTTATGTCCCAATGAAATGGCTTAGCCACCAATACTTCGGTCTTTAGTTTACAATCAATCCACTGTCATGTTTACAAACTAGTCTCAAGAATCCTGACACCACATTTATATGACAAATTATTTGCATCAGTGAAATGTGAATTTCCATTAACATGAACATTAATATGACCTTGGTGGTATATGGTTTGACAAATTTGAAAGCATGAGGTGACTAAAGCCTAGTTTCTAGATTGAAATAAAGAGATGCAGACAGCAGATACATGTGTGTAAATACATGGAAATGCTTCATTACAACTGATGCAAACATGAATATTAATAATTGGCAAAGCTGGATTATGGTGAACTTTTCCAGCGTTTTGTGTTGATTCAGCCATCAGCAGCCCCACACATATTGGCGTGACATGCACACATCTCTTTTGTTCAAGTAGGCACATTTGGCCTTTTTTCTCCTTCTGAGAAATGACCCTCTGATAGTCAATAAAAAAGCTCACCATAAACAAAATACACTGAACTAACGTATTTGTCTTGCTTGATTACAAACACCCAAAAAGAAAATTCCAGGAATTTCAGAAGCCATTTAGTTTTCAATTTTTTGGGCAAATAACATCAGAATTGTCGCGTCTGCAACTGTCAGTCTTGCATGTTGTCAGAGACTGTCATAACCATACGGAATCTAGGCTCAAGTGTCAGACAGGCCTCTCTAGGGAGTGCTTTTGCAGTGATCCCCACACCCTACCTTTGTCCTTCCCGTCCACTACCATTTGCTCCTCCATAGCCTGGATGACCCGCTTGACCACGGCAGTGACCAGCAGATGGGTGCTGAGTGTTTCCCTGGTCAGCAGCAGCCGATGCATGACGTTGAGCAGCTCCACGGCCAGTGAGGGGTCTGAGCTCAGCCGGCTGCGGGGCCAGGCCGAGTCCAGCAGGGTGTCCACGGCCTGCAGGCAGTAGTGAACACTCTGAATGGGCTCGGCTGACCGCTGGCTGGACAGAGCTTCAACACAGACACCTTGGAAAATGGGAAGAAATAACACAGCAAAAAAGAATTTGAGGGAAGAGTTGAGTTTGTATCACACATTTTGTTAAACATGACACAAAAACATACACTACATGTATGTATCGGTACACTGGGGGAAATCAGCAATGACTAATACCGAGCCCAACATGAGCTACATGTAAGTTTAAATCATAAACAATCTTACGGGATGTAACATGATTAAGGTAAATGAACACAAAGAAACTTTGGAATGTGGGGACAAGCGAAAACTAAAAAATATGTACAATCGTTATTGCATCTAGATAAAAATTTGATCAAATTTTACAGGAAAAAGAGTTTTCCAAACATTCTCATTACTACATAGGACAAAGAACGCCATACCTAATATGAGATGGAAATAGTCCTCTTTCAGCCGCTTGGGGGTCTTCCCTGGCACCGTGCTCTGTGCTGCCTTCATGCCAGGCAACACCGGCCCACTGCCCGCCAGATTCCCAAAGTTGCCGTTATTCCTCTCGAGCGTCTGGAAGCCACCGCTGTTCAGCCAGAGGGCAGCGGCATAGACGATGGGCGACCAAGCCTTCTGGTAGTGTGGCCGGGTGGTGGCGATGGCGTCTGAGCTGTAGAAGGCCCCGCCCTCCTGGGGCAGCTGGCTGGAAAAGTCGGGCGGGAGGGCTAGCAAGGCGTGGTCCCGCAGGCCAGAGAGCCAGTACTTGCTGAGGGAGACCAACTCTGGCTGGACCAGGTGGAGGAGGCTGTCGGAGGACGGGCTGTTGCCATGGTAACCATCTTGGTCACTGATGGGCTCGGAGGGACTGAGATGCTGCTTCATGGCCACAATGTATACCTGTCAAAATTACTGTTAAAATTACTATAAAATACATATTTCCAGATAGGTCACATGGGAGACATTTTGTGGTAAATTGTTCAACATTAGGGAGACATCGGTCATGAGGGAGATATTTCAATTTCTTCTTAATGCTCCAACTACCAAAAGGAGGAAAATTTTTACAGTCCACATTTTGAGAGATGATAGATTAGGGTCTGAAAGGAAGACGTGCAAAGTTTGGTTAAGATCGGATTAGGGAATATTGAATTATGGGAAGGTAAAGCTTGAAAAATTTTGTGCACGTTCCTATGGGAATGTCTCCCAAGTGACCCATTTTCAGTAATATTTATTGTCGTAACTACTATCAATAAATAATTGATATCAATAACAACATCACTTTGCTAATAATATTACTCATTAATTACTGTCACTTGCAGTAAACCTCACTGAATAAAACTAACGTGTAGATAATGTCAATACAATTAAAAAAATCAAGGAATACACGCTATGACTAGACTGTTTTAATGTTCCACTTTATCACACCAACACTTCTTGAGGACCTTTTCGACATTCCTTTAAAAGGCATTACTGTGCTCTGTTTCATCAGTCTCTACCTGTGTAAAGACAGAAAGCAAATTTTCTAAATAGTCACAGTGACTTACTTACCAGGCACGTTTATTCATCAAATGTGAGCAGTGAACTGTTCAAATATACATTAACAAATCTCACAATGTTTGCAACTTGTCACTCTTTCTGTTTGTTATTTGCAGCAGTACTTTTACTCTTTCAATGTGAAAGCAACCGCTGACTGATATCTCCTCAAGTTCTGTGATAGCAAGAGTGATGGCTTCCCACTCACCTAATCCCAAAACATGGATCACAGCATTTATGCAGACACAATCTAACTGTCGTATTAATGTGCCATGCTAAGATTTTGTCACATCCATTTTAATTAGCATCAGGAAATATTTATTACAATCCAGTGAATGCTGTTTCGATGCACCGGCAAGGCTGCTGTCATGGTAAATATTTAAAAGATGTGGCGCCACAGTAACGCATTAGTCAGCTTTTAGGTGCTCAGCTATTCTGACACATGAGAGTAACACACTGTTGAGTTACATTCATTGCCTGTTTTTTTCTCTGGTCATTCATTTATCAGCAATGGCTTTGGATACCAAAAATGACACTGGATCAGAAAACAGTGGGTTGTCCCAGAATAACCCTCTGCCAGAAATCCTCATTGGTACAGCTGGACTTGTCGGCAACCTACTGGTGATTGTCGGACTCGTTCGGGCCAATTTCATGCACAATGTCACCAGCAGGATTCTCGTCAGCCTGGCGGTAAGTGATCTTGTGGTCTGCCTGAACATGGTAGTGTTCAGCTCTGCTGTGCTGGATGTTGGGAACTCTCAGCAGGTGCAAAACACATTCCTCGGCTACATGGCTTGCAAGCTGTTCAGTGACCGCATTCTAGTATGGATACCGTCAACCACGTCCGTCACGCACCTTGTTCTTGTGACCTACGAAAGGTACGTTGCCATTGTTCGACCTTTCCAATATGAGGACTGTTTCAAGCTGAGTCGAGTCTACACTGCCATTGCTTTCATGTGGGTACTTTCCATACTAATGCAAGTTCCATACATGATCAGTGATGGTTATGATGTAACACAGCAAATTTGCGTTAGCCAACCGTGTGGAAGTCAGACCGCCTTGCAAGTGTTTTTTGTCACGACAAACATTCTTCTTATCGTCTTACCCACCATTGCCATGCTCTGGTTCTATTGGAGGATTCTGCAGCGCCTTGGTGAGGACGCCAAACGCCTGAAAAAAGACAATGCAGACGGCCCGGCCCAAGAACTCCACCTCGTACGCAGGAAAATTGTCCACACCCTGCTGACCATTGTCGTGGCTTTCATCTTGCTGTGGTTCCCCGAGATGATCTTAGACATTGCCAGGAATTTCAACTGCAACATCTTCGTCCCCTCAAAGCTTGAGAAAGCCTTTTTGATGATGACATTTTCAAATTCTGCTGTGAACCCAATTATCTACGTATTCAAGTACAAAGGATTCCGCAAGGCAGTGAAACAGGCCATCTGCCCATGTTGTAACAAAGCAATCCTTGCAAATGAGATAGACCTTGTTTCTTTACACTAAAATAGTACGACAGAATCAGAACAATAACGCAGAGACACCTCAGCACACACACGTATTGGGTCTGATCCAAAAAAGTGCTAATGTACCACTTGACAACACGGTTTCCCACTAAACTGCACATCGCAAATTAGCCTGTGAGGGTGATTTTATCAAACGGCATAATGGTCACCACCTGACAGCTACACCATGTACAGTTAGTATAACAGTCATTATTTTACCAATACAGCAATGGATGCTGGTTCTGCTTTGCTTTTTTCATACTTTATGCCCTTTATCAAAGCTTGACGGCTTTGCCTGCTACCCAAATACATGTACATATACATACATGTACATGTATTGAGTGCAGCAAAGTGGTTTTTACAAAGGCGGATAGACACGGATAGATACGGATAAAATGCTGGGTAGGTGAGAGTGCCCAAAGCACATAGTGACAAGCAACACATGGAGCGGATCGCTTTAATTGAAAATTCACTTTAATCTCAATAGAAAAAATTACTGTGTCAAATCTAAAAATTTGAGTGTTAACCGCATTGAATGTCTAAAACAATCTACCGGTACTTAATTGATCAGAGAATTTCTTACGGTGTTTGACGTTGTAATTTAATGTCACAAGTGCTTTTTCTTTGTATATCAAGTCGCTTTTGAAGAATGTCCACACTCTTCATTCTTAAAAAGTGTACATTACTGTATAGGGTGACGCCACAAGAGTGGTTTAAGTTATTTTCTGTAACACCAAGACAATGTCTGTGTTGGAGTTTCAGGTTCTCTGTATCTCCACACTGGTGTCTGTGCTGAATATGTTGCTTAGCAATTAATTCTCCAGTGTGAAAACCTTTACCACAGTGATCCCCTTCCACTCATCTCTGTATAGTGCCGATGTGAATAAACTTGATAACTTAGATTCAAACTAGTGTTTTGAGAGTACATTGTAGTAATTTGTTTATTCAGCATGAATGAGTTTATAAAGAAGTGATCTCTGGTAATCATAAGGTATCTCAACAGAACTCCTTGTTTACTGGGGACAGACATTTCTGAACTTCTGTTTGTACTGTGTTGGTGCTGTGGCATCGGTGAATGTGACATGTTCTCTGCTGCGGCACAACCCTTTCGTGAGACAAACTTTCTGTAACTATCTTTGACAGCAGAAGAATCTTATTTCAAAGGCATTGCTTTGATGGCAAGCTGCTGTATCTTGAGCTAATGGATAAATCTCCTCATTTACAATCTTGTAAAGTCGTCATGTTGCATGTACTCACAAGTACGGTAAGTTCCATCAATACATCAATAATATCCAATATATCAATTTTACTTTGATATCAATATGAGTGATATTACTTTAACATGGAAATTGATATATCGAAAGTGCCAATATAATGAAAAAAATGAAGCGATAAATTAGTTGTTATAGAAAGTGGCCAAAAAAAGCAGGCAGCAAATTTACCAACGATTTGTTTTTTCTCTTCACAAAACCTTATAAAAAGTGGTAAAAAGTAAACAGCTATGTGGTGTACAATGATTTTTTGCATCATTACATACATGTACATGTACAAACTCACGTGTATTAAGCACGCTGTACATTTAGCAGGACACCTTTCCACACAAGGGACAATGCGTACACAAATAAATTGTAAAATATCCTTGAGTCTGGGTAACAAACCTCATTGGTTATGATACGTGTGACGCAACAGAGGTAGCTTTGACGACCGGAAGCTCAAAGACTGTTTTACATGCACATGTGGCTGTGAATTCAACATTAGTAAATTTTGCCTGGTACTTGTGTGTGTAAGAAAAACATGTAGCCATTGCTCGAACTTGTATGAATGATGCATCAGAGTCCTGTGCACTCTCTGCATACCGCAATAGTTGAGGGTGATGTATATTCATGTTGTATTGTGGAGTAGCAATTTCATCAATGGTAATTGGTTGAAGGAGGAACTTACTGTCCCAGGAAGCAATGAGCAACTAAACCAGAGCTAAGCCAAGCTCTGGGTTTGGGCAAGTAAAATTGATATTTAAATAAGGCACATCATCAATGAAGCCAACCGCTCAGATCACGGACTGGCCGGAGTATGCATGCTGTTGTATTTGAATATACCTTTCGACCCCAGGTTGTTGGTGTTGTCAGATGCTTTTTTATTTGAGGATGATTTAAAAAACTCGAAAATTCCAGCAAACTTATTGCGTGCCGCATGGTTAGGACCAATTGGTAGGGGCTTAAAATCACCTAACCGCAAAAAGTGTTCAGCATTATGCCACTGGTTTTGAGCTTGAAAACTTTCTTTGAAAAAATTTGATATGTCGGAATTCTCGATAATGGGCTGCTGATATATCAATATCGGCAATTATCTGTAATCAACGGAGCTTACAAGTATTCATGTATTGCATTGTTGGTGAAAGTTTATATTTGCCTGCATTTAGTGACTGAGTGCAAACAACATATCCATTCATTATCTTTTCATGTGGTGTCTTTTTTACGGTACACACACCAAAGAAGACATGGGTGCGTCTACCTGTGCATCTGTACCTTTTTTTTAATCAGTGAAGTTCCACGGTACAATGATTGGGTAGGCCGCGAGTTTATTTTAGCTAAGACTCTGTCTACAATCATTTCTATGGATCAGGGGCCTGGTTGCTTATGAAATCATATGTTACCATCATGGGTATTACTTTTTCTATTCCAGGGTCATACTTTTCTTTATTTACTACCTGATCTAAATCAATCACCATTGAGAATCAGACATGTCTCCCAACCTCATCCATTAATTTGGGGACGGACCACCGCCCAATATTCCTGAGGTAGACCAGCAGATCAGCACATTAGGAAACAAGACAACCATTACACAAGCCATACGTTTTACCCATTATACATAAAGATGGTTATATTTCTACCTCTCAAAATTGCCAACAATTTTTCTGTGCAATCTACTGTGCTTTTACAGCTTGCTTTAAATGATCAGTCTTTTGTGAATCAAATTTGAATGAAATCTGGTACGCAGAGTTCTTTAAGTTCATGTGAACATAAAATTTGAATTCTCCATACTAAAGCTGCTACTGCTATACCTCGTGATTTGAGGCAAGCTTTTTTCTTAGTTACATAAGAGAGATGCCTTGCACAAATCAACTGTTTTCAATGGATAAGAAGTCTATAAAATTCAAATTGTTTCCTTTATGTGCATTTAGATAACTCAGTGTTTCAGAATTCATTCGAATTTAACTTACAAAAGGCTTATTGCAAATTGGCTTTTCAAAAAACAAACAAAACACCCCCCTCCAAAAAAATGGAGTTGGTACAATGTACCATTACGACCTCTTAACACTATTTCAATTTCCACTTGAAATACTTAATCCATGTGCATTTCCATCTTCTACATGAACAACTTAATAAAAGTCCAGGTGTGTCAGGCTACAAACTTGAACTAACCTCAGCCCATGCCTTGATGACAGCTAATTTCTCCATGGTGGAGGCACTCTCGCTGTAGATCTGAGCAGGTGCACCCTTGCCAACCTGCAGCTTGGCTAAGGAAGAGACGAGGAGCTGATGGACTCGTCTGAGGTCATTCAGGTCATGGGCCACGCCACTGCCGATCCATGCACTAGACACCTGGGAAATGAAAGAGGAATTACTTTTGTTTTACCCTGGGTTTCTTAATTGTCTCTTGATTGACTGTTCATTTGGTACAGCAAATGATTTTCCACTACAAAAAATGGCCACTCTCTATATGAATTTCATATCACACATTAATGTTTCACACTGAAAACTTTTGCACTGCTTCATGTTTGGCAGGTGGCCGACAAACTAAAAACAGCCACCAAGTACCTTTTCAGCCACAAGCTGAACTGGATGTAAATTAAGATGGACTATCATGACAACAATGCCCACAAGATACTCCTAAAAGTGACCCATCAAGGCAAGATGCAATTTCCGCAACAATGACTGAAGGAAAGACACAAGAGTCTCCATCAATAACCATCACCCAACCTAGATTTCTGCATACTAAGTCTTTTCAAAAAGAAAACAATCTGGCTCCGAGGAATTTTTTCTTCAGTCAGCTGGGAGTTACATGTACATGTACAGTAAATAAGGGAGAAGTTGAGTCACGTGGCCCAATTCAAAACTAAATCAAGCAAAATGTCACGGCTTCTGGAAGCTTGCAAGGAAAGAGCAACACAGAGCAAGCAACTGAACAAATGAGCCGTCGAACCTTCAAATATAAATAGAGCAAAGGCTATTTGCAAAAAACATCTGCACCTGTTGATTCAAATTCAATACAAAGTTTTAAAAAAATTTGTCTCGGTGGATTAAACATACTAGAGCTCCCAATTAAGGACTAAAGGTCAAGTAAGTACTGGAACATGTTACTTAACGAGGTGAATTATTAAAATATAGGAGGCAACTTCATCCACACAATCTTTCCACATGATTTTGATGGACTATAAATCATGTATTTCAAAAGTGCAACGTTTGGGTAGCAAGGGCAATTTTCTTACAAACAAGCAAGCCATGACAGACAGTTCAGTGTGAGTTGATAACAGTATAACAAATTCTGAACATAAACTTAGCCTTAACAGTACACACATGCTCCCTGGTAATCGGTAGAAATGAATAAATTTAAGTTTCTAAACTATTTCCAGAGAACAGCTACATATTTTAAAATGGGTGATGCAAGACTTTCAAGTTTTTCGTGGACACTAGGGTAAACAAACCCATTCTAAGCCACATGCCACACAATGCACATTGACCAATTCCCTGAATGCTTCACTCATGAATATCTTGCTTTAGTTACTAAATATCACTTTGTACAGGATGGACTTCAATGTACATTGTACATGTGCCATACACGTGTATAGCAGCCACATGTGAATATCAACCACACAAGCCTATGCCACTAATGACAATTCAATTTCCTGATGACAACTTGAAATTCAATCCTTCAACTGTGATGTAGTCTTTCACTCCAGAATACAGAGAACAACATTTTATGTACAAAGCTCTGGCAATGATTGAGATTGATGTGGATGGTAACTACTCAGGCACATGCACTCACCCATGTCAAGCGGAAGACAATTAGGTACATGTATGAAGACCAAGCAATGAATCAAATGAAATGTCAGATTGAGATAACGGCAACTGCATGGTTGCCCAACATGGAAATGTTTGAGGACAGCAAAAGGCCCTCCAAGCCACACTACACTTGGATGGTTGCTACTTGTATGTGCTATCGTGTTTGTTCTTCCCTGTATTTGGATTGGTCGAGCTCACAAGCAAGAACGTACGTAGCACATGGTACCTACACGTACATTTATGTGTCTGTTTGCCAGGAACACAGAAGATATTGTACAAAAGCATGTGTTAATTACACAACGAGTCCACAACTCAAATGGCAACCGAGATGAAGGCGGTGACTAAACTGAGCAAAAGTCTGGTTTTTCCAGTTTTATGTTGTCCCATAACCGCCACTTTTATATTCTAACCTTTTCAACTCCTTTTAAAAGAAAAAAGCCACACTTTTCATTTTTCACAAGCTTATCATTTATCCTTCCTATAAAAACAAAGAACCCCTTGCAGTGAATCTGTAACCTTTAATTGTCAAGACAGTCACTGAAAGCTCCAAAATGCTACAATCTTTTTATCATTATCTCCCATATTAATTACAAGAATCAAAAGTGGAAACAGAAACATCTCAATTTCACGGCTAAATCCCCAACTCACAGTCTGAAAGAAGGCTCAATAAATGGTCCTACTGTTTAATAACACAGCACCAGCTTTAACCCACCTGACTCGTGAGTCAGGTTGGCGTAGTGTTTCTTTCCTCGACTTCCACCCCTGGGGACCTGGGTTCGAGTCTGACTTGCTCCACATGTGGATTGGGTTTTCAGTCCCTAAGTGAGTCCATGGGTTTTCCCCGAATCATTTATCTGGGGTTTCCCACCAACCCTTAAAACTGAACATTTCTTCATTGTCGTCTTCGCTCATTATCATCCTGTAATTGGCGCTAAATGCACTATCGGATGAACAGATATAAATAAATCAAATAAAAACATAAATAAACCTAGTGACTCCTATTCCAACCAAACAAATTGATCTGCCTTTTAGGGCAACAACACAGCTCAGATTCAAATCACATGCACTCCAGTTGACATCAATAGGCATTAAAATGCAAGATATTAATGGACACACAGAGTCTTTCTCACTGAAGTCCATTTGAAGGGCAGCAATGCCAGGGAACGTGCAGAAACTTTCTGCAATGAGTGACAGTGTTTGCATAAATGCATCCTCCACCTGTGATACAGTTTGACCCCCAATTCAAGAGGCTTATTTCTGTGAACATGTAAACATTATACTGTCAAGTAGGGTAAGAATCAATCATGGTGTTAATCCTTTTTTCTTTCCACTTCTTTCCAGTCACAAAGATAGTATATATCACTCTAACTTGAGAATTTCATTATTGAAACAGAAGGCACAGAGGGTAATCCGTCAAATCTCTTCTCAATGCATGACCATTGTACACACTGCATATGATTCAATTGTAATCTCACACGGCTAAGATGATCAGAAGTGAGAAGTGCTATAGATATATGAGATGTTTTGGCTAATTCCTTCTACAATTTTTCATGACAGTAATGAATTGTTTAAATCACAGTTTTTACAGGAGTGTCCACAATCTGACATATGGACGTTTTAAAGCACAGGCATGTATCAAAACTAGCAAGGTGCCATTTCCATGCCGTTTAGAAACACCTGTTCCAACACTAGATCCCACATAAGTAATTAACATATTTGTCACTTGCTGTGCTTTTTCAACTACAATAGTGAACAGAAACTTCAAAGATCTTGATGAGTTTACAGTGCACCAAACATTACGTCTTTGTATCACCTTTGCCAAAATGATAACTCGAAACACTAACAGCATAACCTCTTTATGCTCTGCTATACTTTGTACCTTTATAGAGTACCGAAGTGAATACGTCACGTGCACAATTAGTGTGTAAAAGGCATTAGCACGAGAACCAGCGTGTCAACCAACACACGCGCGTACTCCATCTGTTTGCACTGCACTTTCTGGTTCACAGTGACGTCACACTTCGGTACTCTATCAAGGGTTGCAAAACTAATGGGCAATTGTGGTAAAAAAAACCAACAGTTGGATATTCAGCACAAGGGCCAAAAGGCAAAGAAAAAATATTGGCTATATGCTGTTTAATTAATCAGCAACCGCTCCATTTTCCATGCTCCTGAAAAAAGACTACTGGACACTGCATGTGAGATGAGATAAAGTGCGTCAGACCTGACAACAAATTTCATCTACTTGTTTAAATATCAACAGTTAGTATATTTACACTGTTGTGACTAGATGGATATGACATGGTTTCACTGACACTGACACATAAGCTCCTAATAATTACAAAAGAAACCGTCATTTTTGCAAAGACAAAAGGGTTAAGGAAATACACGATACTTAAAATCTGTGCCTAAAGGGAAACACTATTTAAGCAGCCAGGACTGATTTCACAGCGATCACGATAAGAGTTCATTTCAAAACAGTGATACGACACAGATATACTAGAGAGTGGGCTTGGTAACAGCAGCATGCATGCCAGGTTAGGACATACAGTAATGCAAATTACCAGTATATACATGTACCGTGGGGGGGGGTGACAGGCAATTGTCAAATCTAATCACTCACCTGGCAGGCCATGGCTGTTACATCGGAAGGAGTGTCGGGGGAAAAAGCTGGTCGCAGAGCTGCCCCAACCTTTGAAGCAAAGTCACATGTAGGGAAAACATTACGAACTCAAAAATGCCACAAGCAACAAATCTGTTTTCTTTGAAAACAAACTTTACTACAAATAACAACATTTACCAAGGTATTTTAACCACTGGAAAACAGCAACTTTATACAGAAATTAAGAATAGTTGAAGTTGGCTCATACATACTGTAGTTGACTCATACAGACAGAGATGAAAACTGTTTTAAGTGAAATGCTACACTGAGTTGATTTAGTACCAAAAATTGACTTTAAATAACTAAAGAACTTACAGATTTTCAAGCACTTCAGGCGAGCTTGTTTGAAGGTGTCCATGTAAAAATTCAATTTCTACAGGTGATTCATAATAGTAATCAAATGTTGATCTTTTCCATTCCAATGTTCATTTGTATCAAATATGCGACAGTAGCTTGATGATAATCTATCTTTACACTTAGAATAGATAACTTGGGTAAACAGTCCTGTACTGCAATTGAAGAATGATATCACAGGGTCCTAGTGTGATAAATGTTAATGTTAATGGCAACGATTGGACATGTACGAGCAACCACAAGAGGCAATTCAAACAGGTGTTGCAAAATGATCCGCTATAGAAGGGGAATTAATCAAGAGGGTATTTTTATGTAAATATGGCATTGAGATTATTGTTTACATTTTGTCATTCAGGAAGAGAAAGCCAGATGTGGTTTTTATACTGCACTGAAGGCTTTGGTTCAAATTCTTTATTGTTGACCTCTTTGGCGAAGCCGTTGCTTATCGTTATGCCTGTGTACATCTGCTTCTACAGGCAGTCTCTTTTGCCCCACAACTTTCACCAAATTTGAGTGGCATACGGTGCTAAACAGCATGCTGGGCTACATGTTTCACGTGAGCGCGAGCCCAAGCAGAAGTGCACAATATCAACACATACTGTGGCCACAGGGGTGTGGCTGGGAATTACAAGTACATCAGGGTACCGACGACAAAATGTAATTTATAACTTTCATGTGGTGAATGTACACAGGATAATACATGGCACATCTTCAGCACCTTCTACATTCAAACCACCTGATCAACGTATTCATTACCAAGACTACCATTCCTTCATTACCTGGGCCTGGTACTGCTCCATGATGAAGTGGCCAGGAAACTCCGGCTCGGGCACTCGGGCAAACTTGTTGATGATGTCCTGGAGGAGTAGAAGACCTGCATTCCTCAGCTGGGTACTCTCCGAGGTAGCAGCGATGAATGCAGTACGGACCAGGTCTGACAGATGTAGCACTAGGTAGTTATCTGTACAGAGATCAAGACATGCCACACTGATGTTACCAACTGATCCTCGTTGACTTAGGTACTGTGTACAGTAAACAGTGAATTATTTTTCTAGTTATATTGACCAGTATTTTTGCCACAGGTATTCAAGGAGCGTTAAACATGGAGATTGACTGAGACACTCATCAGCAATTCTTGGGTTTCAACGTACAAAGCTCAAACCTGCTCAATTCACTGACCTTGAGAGGTCTTAGCCTTCATCTCCCTTGCTAAAGCCAGGTCAAAGTGCACCGTGTTCCCATCGCACACTTGGATGACACGTCGGACACTGTCAGCTGCAAAGACTCGTGTGGGCCACCGTGGCGCCACTGCAGAGAAAACAGGAAATGCCAAACCCGTGGATGGGCATATTTTTGTATTTGCTTCGGGATAGCTTTGCAGGAAAGTTGGTTATGGTCTAAGTGGTCTTGTAAGTAGTATACAGAGGGAGGGATTTTACTACAACTCTCTTCACAACGAGCCAGTGCAGTGTTGCAAGAGGGCAAAGGTCGTTCAAGAACACAGCACACTGGCATAACACCTCCTCGGACATGTACGATATGTACGAGTTGGTATGGTGCTGTGCTGATGGGGTGATCCTCATGTACACACTGTTCTGAAATCTCAAACCCAAGTTCCACGGGAAGCTATGCATCATGCGAATCAATCGGATTTAAAAAAAAAACCTGGCTTTATTCAAAAGCAAATCTGAAGCAATGAACTTATGTTTTCCACCGACAGGAAGGAGTGGGGACGGACGGCTGTGTGGACCATCTGTTTGGATTTTACCTGGAGGATGTGTAATGACTTTCTCTCCTGTCTTAAACTTGGCCGAGTCGTCAATCTCCTGATCTTCGTCTTTCTCATCTTTTTCTTCGGCATCCTTGAGAGCATTGTCAGGTTTGGGAGGACCTGTTCCACTATCTGCAAACCCAACAACACCATTTGTTTTAATGGATACATTTTCATTGAGGGAAATTCATGACAAAAGAGAGAAAAAGCAACAAACCCGTTTTTACATTTTTAAGCAAACTACAGCTGAAGTTTAAAGAATTTTCTGATATCAAAAACACCGAGCTTTCACAGAAATACCGTGACAGTGTCAACACCATTCTTGCTGCTGTAAATCCTTCAACAATCTTTTCAGATTTCTCTAACACATTGCAAACTCTTTCCGGTTTGTCAAGGTCAACTACCTTTAGAAGCAGACAGCACCGTCTTGCACAGTGTCAACCACCTCGCCAGGTCTTTGCCTGACAGCTCATGCAGCATACTGATCAAGGTGTCATGGATGTTGGACAAGAGTCGCTGGTCTGTCTCCTTGTCAAGCATGCTGAATAGCACTCCCTCAAGACCAGTGTCTGCACACACAAGGAAACAGAGTAGAAGGCTATGTTCTAACAACCGTCAGCCATCCAAAGGGGCAGCAGTGTACAATTGGGCAAGTTGACACAATAAGCATCCATAGTTAACTCGTTACAATGTGAAGTATGCCCACACATACAGACACCTTAAATGCAATAGCCATCTCTGTCAGGTTAAACTTGACACTCCCCCACGGGTAAACCACTGTTTTCAGTGCCAACATGTGGTGGAAAACAATTAAACTAAATACGCAAATGAATCCGTAATTTCTTTCCCACAATCAAAACAAATTTTAGAAACTTAACAAATAGTTTCCTGTATTCCTAAAAAGTTTTAACAGGTAAATAAAATGGGCAACCTTCAAGTAAACATTTTTAGCCTTTTCCCTTCTCAATTCTTGTTTGGAGCAATACCCAACTCTTGTTTATTAACCCTAACAGTCCCAAATCCTCCAATGTCAATATGATTTTACATACACCCTAGGGGGTTAGGGTTAAAGAATTCATATCTGGGAGGAAGAGAATGGTATGCTGTTTGATGTCACTGATCTTGCCCAGTGATAATGTCCATGTCTATGTACTATGCCCACCTGTGATGACCACACCATCTGTGGTTGACACACTTGTATCCCTGGAATCCTTGGCTAAGCTTTTGGCATACTCGCACACCTCCTGGGCTTCTCGTTGGGACAGCTGTCTCAGGCAGGCCACGGCAGCACGGCGCAGTAACAGGTGCTGGCTACCCAACGATGTCTGCCAGAGAAACGGCAACGGGTTGACCGTCACATTACCAACCGATCATATTATAGATCCAGGTGGGCTGTGTCATGTATAGTTTCCCAAATTATTTACTAGTTTGTGCAAGTTTTGCAGGAAACTTTTCTGATTTTTCCCTCAGAGAATCTCTACCAAAATTAACGGTACTCTCTTTGTACTTATAAACTTCCATGAGTACTGAGCAAAATGTAAACATTAAGAGTTGCTATATTCTGCCTTCTCACTCCTACAAATGTCCCTTTGGATTTCAATGGATCTAGGAGGTTTGTGTAAATGTTTAGTTTGTTAGGTTAGCACAGCATTTCCTCAACTTCTTCCCATTACTTAACTTTTTCAGAAAATAATTTCCAAAGCATGTGCACTGAAAAACAGACCTGTATACAGTATGAAACATCCCTTAAATGAAAACAATTGTTTGAAAACTTTAAAAAATTTTCAACGTAACATATCATGGTACATCGAGCAGAATTGGCACCATGAAAACTATTCCAAGTTATCCAATGCAAAGAGTTTCTAGTCAAAGAATTGTAGAGAGTTATCAAAAACAACATTGAAATTGAAATTAGATGTGTGTAGACACCGTGTCTATAATCCAGAAACTTACACAGAGATGCGGGACGAGGCTTGTCAGGTTGACATGCCTTGGAGCAAACATGTGAAGCTGCTGTAGGCAGGCAATGGCCTCGGAGCCAACCAAGGAGTCTGGATGGTCCTGCATGATGGCACAGGCTACCAGGCAAGATGTCCGCGCCGTTGCTAGGTTACCTTTGTTACCTGAGGCAAGATGTGGTTCATTTGAGGTTTGTTATGTCGTTTTATGGTACAAAGTACCAACAGTGAAATTACTAGCCGGTATGTATTAACTGATTGGATGGGTGGGTGGATCCAGAGTAAAAATGTGTAGGCCAAATTAGGACAGGGGCATTGCTAGAGCTAATGATTTTCCGGTTTTTTTTTCCGTATTTTCCCTTTAGCCAAATCCCAGATTCCACTTTGGAAATTCAAATTCTCTTTTACCTTTGTATAAAGCATAAAATAGGAGAGCAAGTTTTAAACTATGCATGGAAACCATTTACTCAAGCATACCTTCCCCAGAAGCAAGAAAGAAAAGAAACAAATATTGTTTGGAAATACCCTGCAATGTTTCCCACTTTTTTTATAATTTCTGTAGTGAAAATTTAAAAATACACACAATAAATACGGCATCCCCCATCCCCTGATATTTCCCACCGACAAGCGATCGCGCTCAGGCGCGATCATCAAAAACTTGCTAAAATTAATTAACAGACAATTCATGTGCTACTCCTTGTATATAAAAATCAGATTACACAAAAGTACATGTGCAGTGAATTCACAAAATAGGTCTTGCATGTAACAGTCATTGATCACAATATGTTAATGTTGGACATCGACCCACCATTTTATTTGGCAGTAGTGCGACAAAATTCAAAAAGAGAACATTAAATCTGAGCCTTAAAATGTATGTTTGTGACTGCAAACTTCACTCTACATCGAACACTTCCAAGGCCCCATTCAGCCATGTCAGCTAAAGTACACTAAGCTTTACTAGGTTAAGTTTAATTCAAGAAATATGTAATTAGTCTTCCGTTTTGCTGCCGCGGTTTCATCTTTTCGCCATGCGGTACTAGCCTTGTTTCAAGGTGTCTATGCAGATTCACAGACTGAATTCCCCACGTGTGCAATAAGCACACGTGTGAGTTTGAACTCGTTTTGCGCCTTGATTTCAATGCTAGTCACGGTAAACGCATTCGTTTGAACGTTCCTGTTTTCAACATGCCAAAATGTGTATTTCAATTCAAAAAGCTGCCCAACACCTTAACACTTTTAGAGTGTTAATCTCTGCTAAGATCAAATTATAACTGTTATGCACATGAACCAAAATTTTGCAGCCGATCTTCATGGACTTAGCAAACATCTCAGCTGTTGAAGTTCTGGCCAACACATTGCTTTGTGGCTCTCTATGTAGCAGTTAACTCATCTCAGTAGTTCTATGCCAACTTCTGAATAATGTATTAATGTTGGGAGTAAGGCAGACCAAGCATAAACATACTTCATTTCCTCCTACTACAAACCCCATCACTATTTCCTCAACCCCTGAACGCCACTCACCTTGCAGTTCAGGACCCAATGTTGTGATCAGAGCGGCCAGGCACCGGCCCAGACACTGATGGACCTCCACGTTGGACGGGGGTACGCTGAGAAGCAAGGTCAGGACTAGAGACAGGGTTGGCTCGACGTAGGAGCGGAACATGGGACCGCCTGAGTCAGCAATCAGGGCTAGAGCATGCAGTGCCCACATCTAGAGAAAAAAAAAAAGATTCAGAGGATTTCGGGTTAGGATTAGAGTAAGAGTTAACAACATAGCTTTGCACAAAAATATTGAGTTAATGTACATTATTCTCCTAACCATATTGATGAGAGATGTACACTGTTAAATGCGTGGCAGACAAAAACCTACATGAATTGTTGATATCAGTAACTTTTCCTGAGCGACGTAAGTCTCCTTTCATCTTGTCTTGTCTTCTAATGATCTCTACTAATATCTATACCAACCCAAAGTGGGATACCAAAGTGCTAGGCCTAGTGGTTAGAGTCCATGACTGATGATCGGGGGGGGGGGTGTTAGGGGTTGGAATTCAGCTGCTGGCAATCAGTTATGGCTTTAACCAAATCACCTAACCCTTACATGTACTTGCCTCTATCTACTGAGGAGTATGAACGTGTAATGACATTGGCTGTGAAAACACCTGCAAAGGGCTGGCCTCCCAACCAGTGGGGAGTAGAATTATCCTTAGTCCTTTCATACTGTGGACACAGAGTATGAACGCGGCCCTGATGAGCCACGATGGCTTGGAGCAGACTTTGCTAAACCCTTTAGTAACTGGGAGTAAGAAGTTACTCTGTGCTTGCCTGTACTGTAGGAGAAGTGGAGTCCTGTGCCAAGGCAAGCAGGATACTGACGCTGGTGTTGAGGTGCTGACCTGCCCCCATGCCACCAACATATCGGTGCAGACAGCCTAATGCCAAGGAGTTGCCTGTGATGAAAGGAAGCAAATGAGAAAACAATGAACAAACTGCTTCACTAACCACGAGCCAGTTAGGCACAAAATGCAATGTGATGTACCAGGGTAGGTCATAGAGAACCATCAACACGTGCCTAAGGTTGGCCCTATCAGATGTACGTCAATTCCACTGCACAAACGTATTTGAGGGGGCGATTATGTGACATCAGGTGCTCTGTTCCTGAATGATGCCACCTTCCTGAAATACTGATGTGGCTTACTGATGACATATTATGCAATTAAAGATGTTCCAATGAGATGTGAATCCACACAGGAAAACTTGGTTGAGTCAATAGTGCAACTGAATCTCTGAACTGCATTATTGAGGAGGTCTGAAGAATAGGCTAGCTCAGCAAAATTAAATTCTCTCTGCAATCTAGGAGAACTACATTATCTGCATAAGCGATCAGATGAACATAACATAACTTAAACATGTCAGGACATGTGCCGTGTGATGCGTCTTCAACTTCCAGATAATCAAGGCCAACACCTGTAATACGTTGGCTTGACACTAACTTGCTATCTACCAACGGAGTGCACCTACCTGTTCTTGAAACAGCATCCCTGGCCGTCTTGAGACGGTCAAAGCACATCTGAGCTGTCTGTGCAATGAAGGAATTGTCTCCGCCCATCTGAGCCATCCTCCCTAATGCTTCACCGGCTGCGCAACGCAGGATGGGGTTGGAATTGGTCAAGGCATTCTGAAACCATGAATATTCATAGATGTGTCAAGTACGCTAGACCAGTCTGGACCAACTTTCAGGAGGCCTCAACGGCGATGCATTATGGCACTGTGTGATGTTGGAGCCAATCATACAAGGCATGGAAATAAATCATTACGGAAAATGGAAAGAAAGGACTGGCTTTCTTTACACAAACTAGATAAATCAATTCATCAACTGACAACATGTCTGGTTCATTAACGATTCGGAGAGTGAAGCAAGTCCTTCAAGAGAAAAACGAACGCTACATTGAAAGTCAGTTTACTATCTCGACGTCGGCAGGAAAAGTACGCCAAACCAAAACTATCAGCAACAATTACTCTGAGGACAATTAAACATTACTTCATAATAACAGTAAAATTTGCTTCTGGAAGAGCCAAGAGTTTTGTCTTTGCAAACATTCACATGTCAAAAACAACACACTTCTAACAAAATAAGAGTCATTTTACCCAGTCTTGCAATCTTACCATGATCAGGTTATTGGCTGCTACTCTGACACCACTGTTCTTGAGTCTGCGCTTGTTTTCGGCTAAACCCTGTTCAAAACAAGATAGTTACACCTTATTCAAAGGTCTGTGTGGAAATCATTTGTGTACAAAACTTCAGCATGACTTTTTAAATCATTACAGATTTCAAAAAAAAGCAAATCCGACTGTAATAAATTCTGTTCACACGCCATGCACTCATCAATCAAACGCCGCAAGAAAAGACAAAAATATAGTGGGCGTGCAGCTGATGACAAACCTTCAGAGCACTTAGAACCCCTGTGAAGACGTTGATCTGAACCGCTTGTTGTCTGGCAGACTTGGCCTGCCTGATGCACTCCCCAAAGTGTTCCAGTATTTTCAGGCGGTGCTTGTCAGCGACATGGGGTATGACGACACCAAAGAGGGCAACTGAGGCATCAATTACAGCCACGCCCAGGGGCAGGGGACCAGGAACATCTTCACCCTGCAGGGTAAAAAATAAAATGCTGCCTGTTTTTGGCTCATCTCAAATGATGGTAGTTAAAAATGATTGTGTTCATCAAGAGCATTTAGGCAAAGACTGAAAGCAATATATCTCCCTGAACACACAGTGGTGCATTACTCTTAAAGGACAATCTACTGGCATTCCCTCTGTTCCGTTAATACAACATTCTCCAAGAGTCTAGGCACACTCTCCTACACCCTTAATGAAAAGCCTTTAGCCGATGAAATGAATCTTTTTTGCTTCTGTCTTCTCCAACAAATGTAATAAAAGCCGACTATTCTTCATCAGCTTCCATTTTAGACAGCTGCAATGGGCAGATAAGCAGACTCCACACTCTCAACGGTTCAAGAGTTGAATACCTTTTTTGTGCACAACAATAGCACCTGAAGCAAGCATATGATAATACACCTGGATGTTGGGGGTTTCACTTTTTTACAAAGATCTCTAATCAGCTATAGGGGTCATTCCATGAAGCTGGATAACAAAGTGTGACAAAGGAGCTGAAATTTCAAATTCACTCACATGTCATTTTTCCCCCAAGTTTCACACATTATCAACTGTGTTTCTCATACCTAGTAATACTTTTGCAATAACTTAGGCGGGCAAGGAAATAATACTCGGGTATTATGCAACATGTAGCGGGCTGTGGATGTAACACAGAACCACACAGAGTTTCAGCGCACAGCGAAGATTTCTCCGAGTTGCAGTAATGAAGATTCATTTGTTATGTTCTAAAGATTGGCAAGGAGTTTACCAAAAATAATACAATAAAGAAGGGAATATACCACAGAAACAAATGTCAGGGTAGGTACATGAACTCGTTTTGGGAGACTTTCCAGACCAGGTACCGTGCAGTCGGGCTGAGCATTTTCCTGTATTCGGTCAGCATGGTAGGGCTCGAACGGAGTGTAATCTTTGTGACCACATACGGCCGCATGGATGGCAATATTTGTGTTGATCTTCACCACATTTATCCCTGATTATATTCAAAATAAGCTGAAAACATCATGTCAGATTTCACAGAAAAAATGCAAAAAATGGCACCTTTATCTACAATTTCCCAGCCAGAATGTTGCCAAAATCCTGCCAGCCTGCACGCACCATGTTGTGTTTGCTAGCATGGTTCCGTTCAGTGAGGAATCGCTCTACCGGTAATCCTTGTGGGATATGTGGAACTAGACATATTAGCGACAAGACTATATCATTTTTGACTTGTGAGGGCATGCACCATATTTTCCTTTTTATGTGTAGTAAATAATACCGTCACAGAAGTATGCAAACTGGAGTGATTGCTTAACTATAGCTGGTTAACATTTTCAGTTTAAAAATGTGCTCAAAATCTATTTATGTATGAGTTTAAGGTATGGCTCCTCCGAGGGGATCGCGGTACCACCCTTATTATTACATAATGGTAACGGACTAACGGTCATTGCAATAATAAGATCTGAACATAACTGGAGTTGTTAATAATCAGAACTCACAGAGAATGAACATATTACACATGTTGTAAATTTTAAGGATTCATTCTTTTTACAATCTTGTACTTCAAAAACCAATGATACCGGTCTCTAATGGCCGAATTTACTTTTGACAAACTAAGGGGGCCTGACTGCATCTCGGACGTAACGTGTGGAAGCTCCGTGTTTGGCAAACGGGTAAATATCGTACATGTACATGCCTGACAACATCTGGCACATGATGTTTTGTTTGGCGAATTCTAGAAAGAGCTGTTGAAGCATGGAAGAAACCATTTCCAATGAGGGGCGCACACTTCCACTTTAAGGAACACCAAGGGTTGCGGACGTAACAGAATGGCTGCAGAGACCATGCTTGGCATTCTGTCAAGAATAAATTATTTCTTTTGCACTGAAATACAGCAGCGAACGCCGAGTTGAGAAAAAGTACATCTGGGTTGTAGTTTTCAATTCGTGGTGATGTAGTTAGCAATTATTTTCCAGGTCCAAAAAACGAACTCCTGTTTCGGATGCAACACGACTATTTGTGTATGGAAACCACATGTTATGTCCATACCCTCAAACAAAACAGGGGCTCACTTATGAAGGAGGGGGAGTTAACATAAACTATGCAGTGAACTGTGGAGGGTTGGTATTAATACGAACATGAAGAAAATATGACAATGTTTACATTTACTTTCAACCCACTCTCTTTGTTCCTTAAATGCCTATTTATTTTGTCACCAAAAAAATACTTTTCCGTGCTTTATGCTGCAAAAAATGTTTCCACAAATTTGAACAAAATGGTTCAACAACATACCTCACTATGTGTTCTTTTTATGTTGTAAATTTAACTGGCTAATTATTTGAGTAGCCATGTGATTTACTCCAAAGTCTTCAGACCGTAGGCAAATAACCAGCTGTTCTCTAACTTCATGGAATGACCCACAGAGAGAAAAATAAGGATTTTCTTGGGGGTGCAACCTTGGTCTGGTTTCCCGAGTGGGGACAGGCATACCTTGACCGCCTTCCAGTACAGTGATGATGGGTCATGCTCCAGCGCCCCCGACCCCGAGGCACTGTTTGGCTGCAGCTGCAGCTCCACGGACTTGTGATCAGTCTCTGTAATCCAGCTCTGCAGGATGATGGAATCGTTCTCGTGGCACAGGGATCGCAGCAGGGAGGTGGTGGTGTTTGCGGCGTTGTCTGTCAGCGTGAACTCAGCAACCAGCTCTCGGAGCAGGGCTGTGAAGCTACCTGACACGTGGAAAAGAACAAAAAAATGGGAGTACTGTACTACATACTCAAGCAGCAAATGAGGACACTTCTAAGCACAATTTGCGAAAAAGCTCCATGGTCTTTAATAACTGGGTGAAGATTTATTCATACAACATAAAACTAGTTGCTACTAAACATTACAAAGCTCACACAGCTAGGGAAATTACTGATTTTTTTAATATCCAAACAGTGCAAATTCATAGTTTTTGTCCTGGATGGGAAACAAAGCTTGAAAGTTTTACTAGAATCTATGAGAAATACATAGGCAATTTCTGACCCGGTACATTTAAGAAACCCGAAGTGCATTCTGTGTAATGAATAAATAATATGTCAGGAAATTTCAAGTGGTTGCTCATCGTACCTCTCAGGCCGTGTTCCTTCATACCAAATGACCTTTCATTTGTGGAAGTCAAGACAATTTGTATTCACAACTTCATTGGTGACAGCCAGAAAGATTAGCATATGCTATATATCAAATGGTCATTAAAGCTTTTTACAAGATGAATCTGCAATGATTGTCCTAGTTTATTTGACTGGCTTTCTGTTTTGTTTACCTTCATAGGCTGTGGGAGGCAGGAGTCGCAGTACTTCATACAGTCTGAGTCTAACCATGGCTGCACTGGCTTTGAGGTGAGCACCACAAGACTTAATCACTGTGTGAATCCTGGTAGCATCAAGAAAAAAATAGTTCTTGCTAGAAGCTGGAATAATATTGAAATAAAGCACATGGCACTGCTTTACACCGGTAGCTTTGCAACCAGGTTAACCCCTTCGCGCCGGGAAGCGGTAAGAGCCGCCGTAAAAATTGAGATCCCTCAGCCCGCTTTTATTCTCGGCCCACGCTCGAGCGAACACGGTGAAAGAAAGCATACCCTGGCTCTCATATATATGGTGATTGGCCTTTGTGCGTCGCCAAGAAATGAAAAGGCCGAATTCGCATCATAATCACCAGCTTCACAACAGTCCCCACTTTGAAAAGAGGCAACGGGAATGTGGGAAGCGTGAATAGAGCCGCATGCCACCGAACAATGAGCCTTTTCACTGTGTAAATCAAAGCGTGCAGAGCACGCAGGGCCACAAACCGAGAATTTACAGTTTGGCAGGTGGCCTTTGTGGCCAAGCGAGGCTGGAATTCTTGGAGTTGGCTTTCAGAAAAAAGTTCCGACGTCAAGGGGTTAAAGGGTAGCTGTAATCAATTTGTTTTGATACAAAAATGCACCTTTGTCCCTCAGCTCATGTTATTTTCAACTTTTGGCTAACTATTTCAAAGGGTATTTTCCTGCCTTTTTGGTTTTTATGCTGATGAGTAATTCCACATTCATGCGCAAAACTGTGATGTCATCCCAGGAGGAAAGCCTAAATGTCACACTGGTTTGTAAAAAAGCCATGCATTTTTGTAGATTTTGCTGGACTAAATTTTCCCTTCTTTGCAAATTCACTGTTGTTCACGTGTACGTGCACAGCAATAAATGCCTTTCTCAGAAATGTTTCAGTGAGTAAATTCTGGGTTCAAGTCTAAAAGAAAACCCTGTGTCTTCCCTAGATGACATCACGGCAACAACGCCCTCAGTTGTTCAGGAAAGCATGGATAATTTTGAGTATTTCAGTGCATTTAACCAAATGGGAGTGTAAAAGAGTGTGCATACACTGAAGAAGAGTACAACGTTGCCAAAAAAATTTGTGTCTGAGAAAAATTCACTGCGGCTACCCTTTAAGTACGGTGTACTGATTCACAAACATCTTGCTTGAGTGTATGTCAAACTCATGCCTTTGCTACCTGAAAAATTTTACATCACGTACAAAAATCTCCCATCTAGATCTCATGAAACCAGGTTGGGGGGTCAAGAAAATAAGATGCATGTCTGGTGCATTGATGCCTCTAAATAGGCTGTAATAATGCATGCACATTTGTCTCAAGTTGCTGTACTGACAACACAATCTAATCCTCGAGGATCAGATAGTAAAAAACCATGCCTTTAAAGATGTACACAAGTTACAACAGTTCCTGCTCTCAATCCGTCCGTCATTTTATTATTTCCAGTACTCTGGTTTTGATCAAGGCTCAACTGAATTGCACATCTAAGCATTTTGTTGGTGGGGAACACAAAGCATTATCATTAATGCCATGAAACCCGTAAGCGGTATGTTCAATAACTCGAAAGTCCACTTTCAGCAGTGACTGCTCAACATCGACACACAACAGGAATCCCAATGCAGGTACTATAAAAGGCAACGTCAGCCCACTTTTCCAGTCCTATTTTCACAGGCTCTCGTCAATTGAGGCCAGCCAAGTTTCTACTTACTCAGCCAACATGGACATTGCACACTCCAGAGGCGTCATGCACCTCCTGATGACATCTTCGGTCACCAAGTCAGGGCAGTGAGTGATGAAGCTTTGCATGGCTGGAATACAAGGAACATCGAACATTTACAGGTAAAATCAACAAAAATACTATTACCTTTTTGTCCACAGTCATTATCAAACAAATTGGGAATAACGAGTCACAAAAAGAAAGGGTTACATTTTGGTCCAAACCAGCAACTCATGTGGTAACGAGATGTTGTTCTTTAGACTTTTACATTGTATATGAGGTCGTGTCTATGGCTGAAACTGTTCCCACAGAGTACCAACTGCAAAAATTGAAATTAAAATCATAGCCACAACATAGCTGACTTGGATGAAACCTTGGCTAGGTGTGTGACTATTCATAACAAGAAATCAGTGGTACTGCAAGGCCTGCTTTGTTTCAGAGTAACTACCTCAAAAATGAAAGTATAACTTTATGTTTCAAACCACAGGTTACCGGTAGCTTGGATTTTACAAGGGGCATAGCAAAGACCATCCTGAGAATTACTATCAAGACTTCAACACCACCACCACAACAACACAATCAGAGCAAAGCTGAGTTGGGTTTTCTTTATAGGCATGACTTGAAGAACAACTCAGTTCTACTAAAACGTTCCTTATTGCAACTTGGGTGATGCTGGGGCAAGGCAGGTGGACAGAGACCAACATTCCTGCAAACTCTGTTCAGAGATGGGTTTGTACAGAAGGTCACTTAGACAAGGATCTTCCTTACCACACAAAGCTCCTGCCCTTCCTTCTAATGTGACCTGCCAAGTAAAAGCATCTCCTCTGGCCTTCTCAGACTCCAGCTCTTTGGATGATCTTGGAAATGCATTCCGCCACAACAAGAGAAGCCTAGGCAGATGGTTCCGGACTACTGGGGAACCTACAACAAGAAGTAAAAGATAGGGATACATTTTCTTAACCACTACCAGCCGGGGACTCCGAAATCGGAGCCGTATGGTTTATATGTGTGACCGGGGTCTCCGAACTCGGACAAAGGAAACAAGGCCCTGTAACAAAAGACAGTACTCCGAACAAAAGACCAGGCTGCTGGGCATGACTGGCATTTTTCACTCTCAAAAGTGGTG